TAACCCTCTCAGGACCAATAATGAGAATAGTGATAGCATGTGTGTAGGGGCGGTGGGGAGAAAGGGGGAACCGATCACAATGATCGATATACAACATCCCCACCCTAGGGGGACGAACAACAAAAATGTGGGTGAAGGGAGACAGCAGATGTTGTAAAATATGGAAATAAAGATACTTTATAAATTATCAATGTACTTATTCTGTGTGGGTTTAGCTGACATTAGATGACTGCACTAAGTATTACTACCACACACCTTTTGACAATTAAATATTTTACAGGTGTAAGCTATGCAACCCTATCCTTAATTACTGTTAATCACACTCTTTTCTCTTCATCCAACCCCTGGGAACTGTGAATAAACTTTGTTCCATATAGCTTTGCCCGTTCTACTCTTGTCTAGCAAGGGAAGTCATAGTATATTTGTCTTTGTGTGATTTATTTCAGCCAGTATAATGGCTTCTAGCATCCTTCACTTTGTAGCATGCATCAAGACTTCATTTATCCTACTGGCTGAGTAGTCTTCCATCATGTGTATCTACCATATTTGTTTTATCCACTCCACTGTTGGTGACATTTGGTTGTTTCCACCTTTTGGGTCTTGTGACTAGTGCTGCAATGAATATTGGTGTCCAAGTTTGAGTTTCCATTTTGAAGTCTTCGGGTGCATACCTACAACTGGAATTCTGGGTCATATAACAATTTCTGTTGGAATCAGCTTGAAAGATACATGACAGTGAATTTAAGTGTAATGACAGTTCTATTCTTAACTTAATAGAAACCACCCATGTTTTCCATAATAGCTACATCATTTTGCATTCTTACTTATTTCTCCATCTGAATACTTTCCACTTCTTTATCTTATCTTATTGCTTTAGCTAGGAATACTAATACAATATTGAGGTAGTTAGTTTATTGTGCCAACCTGGTCAATAAACACATGTGGGGTTAATTGAAGGGCGGAGGGATAAATGGCTCTGTGAGCCTCACCTTTCTAGTTCTCGGGTCTCTTGCTTTCTGATGGTCGGACCAGGGTGCAGCTGCCTCAGCCAGTTCCCTGCTTTAGGTGGCAAGGCTCACTTCCTGCAAGACATCCCTGAGGAGGAGCCACATGGACCTACACCGATGGAGCCCTGGCTGCTGGAGCAGCCATGTGGAGATCCCTGCCAGTGTTGAGTTGCTCACACATTCACTGACTCAGCTTTCCTCCTGTAGTCGGCATCATCGTGTCTGTTTTGTGAGATGGAGGAGGACTTTGTGGA